CGGACTCCAGAAGCTGCCGGTTCCAGCCTCCGTCAGTGGCAACCTCACTGCAGCCATCTGCGCAGGGCAGAAACCACGGGGTCATCACCGGCTTGGCCTTTCTCCCACCACCCGTGTCCACCAGGAAAGCACCTTAGCGTCACCCCTGACGACCTCCAGGTTGCTCCCTTTCTTGCCGCGATCAGCACCGTCACCCAGCTCCGGCTGCCGGGCCCTGCCTGGACCGCTCGGGCTTTCTGACTCCTCCTGGCTTCGTCTTCTGTCGACACGGCAGTCAGGGTGGTCCTTCTAAATCAGACAGTAGGTCTTGTCTCTGCTTTTTAGAAATTCTCCAGTCTCTCCTTCAGAAAAAAAATCTAAACAGTCTTCTTTGCTAGAAATGCATGGACTGCAGCGTCTGCTGGGGCCTAGAGTCTCTTCTCATTTCCAGGAGCATCTTTGCTCTGGGAAAAGCTGGCTTTTGTTGTATGGCTGAGCTCTTTACTCTGTGGCGACTGCCCAGCCCAGCTTCCATGAGGTCAGACTTTGCTAAGTACCATCTCACTAGACTTTGAGTCTTAAGCCTTTAGACATGGATCCGATCCTGGCTGCCACTTAGAAGCCTGTGTAACTTCACAGACCCCTGGCCTGTTTTCTCAACTGTATGTTAAAGAGATTGTAAGAAGTAGCCATGCAGGGAACAGCCCGGTGCTCTGAAGTGCCGCCCGTGACGGTGGTGGTATTTCCTGTCCAGCTGGTAAGGGAAGGCAGGTCGTGGGGTGTGGGGTGTTCCTCCTTTCTAACCAGGACTGTTTCTAGTCATGTGCCTGCAGGAGGCGTCAGCACGGTGTTTAACCTGCTGTCCTCAGCGGTGGTGCCCTAGAGTGTACGCGGGAAGCTTGCCGCCTGCAGAGAGAGGGTGACCCAAGGCCTGCGAGTAAGCCCAGGAGAGAGGAAGGGTGGGATCTTCTCTCCGAAGGGTGTTGTTTATGAAGCTCCTCGTGGCTTTTTTCCTTTTTCCATGAAAAACTCTTGGTCCTTTTGTCTTCTGCCACGGGCCCTGGTTATGGACGGGGCGTTGATGTGAATAGTTTCCAAATTGGAAATTAATGAGGTGTTCTGTCCAGCGAGGCTTCCTCCCGTACCGTGAGGCCCCTGCCCCTGGGAATACCCGCTCCGGCTTTGTGTTTTCCTGCTGCCCGCCTGCGTAAGGCTGTGCTGGGCATCCCCGCTCCCCTGCCGCCTCCCCGCAAGGTGGTTGCAGACTCGTTTTCCTGGCCTAAGATATTTTTTGCTCCATGTGTCAGCTCGATTCCCGGAATCACCGGATCGTGTTAAAACAGGATGGGTTCTGCCGCCTGAGGCCACTGTCACTGGGCCAGGAAGTTCTCCCTGGATCTTCAGAACCTTCACTTCAGCCTTTATGTGTTCAGACAGAAGGCCGGTACAGGTCTTCTGGGAGGCAGGCATTGCAGGAAACGTCTCATCCGCCCCGTGGTCTCGCATCCGGTCGTGTCTGCGGGTGCTGTTGATATGGGTGTTGACAGATAAGGAAGTGGGCTAAAGGTGCCCCTTAGCAAGAGTGGCTTGCACCGAGACGGAGTGGCCAGCACGTGTCGTCAGCCGTCTGGTGAGGAGCGGCGGACTTCCAACGTGCCAAGTCACAGGTGATACATTTTCAGAAGTCCTCAGGATGAAAGGTGGCCCCTGGTCGGGGCTCAGCACTGCCATCAGAAGGTCCAGAGGGAGCAGCAAGGCTGTTTAGAGCGGGATACTCTGGGCTGCGGGTGGCAGGGTGTCCAGGAACCTCCTGGAACTGACTGCAGAGTTTCGTGCATAGATATTTCAAGGGAGAAGGCGTGGCCCTTTCATGAGGTTTTTTAAGGATTCCTTAACCCAGCAGTTTACATGAAAACGGATGCCCAGTCATGGTCCGAGGCCGCCTGGCCTGTGTGTGCTGGTTACCCTGTGTAAGTGCGCGGTGGTTTCCTGTGTCCTCTAGGAAAAAGGCCTCAGGAGGCCAGATATCCTGTGACCTGGATGCCTGAGGGAGTCTGCGAGGCTACTTGTAAAGTTTGTGAACGAGAGGAATGGACTAGAGTGGAAACGAAAGTTTTCCTAAGCACGCTAAAGACAGCCTGTCAAGCAAAATGTGGGTACACAGAAGGGGGAGGAGTGACTTGGTTTGGAATGAAATGGAGAAAAGGAAACAAGCTAAATCTCCAGGGGAAAACTCTGTGACCACAAGAACGAATAGGTCGCAGCCTGTCATTCTAGAAGAGGCTGGAGCAGCTCCATGAGCGGGGAGTTTTCAGGAAATGTGGCTGCGATAGGACAGGCCCGGGCCGGCCTGAAAGGGGCTCTTCTGGAGACCTGCGCGTGACACTCCCCCGGCACTGTCGGGGACACCTGGACGCTGCCCTGCCAGTTTCTCCCGCCTCCAGGACCCACTCGCCTCAGCAGAAGGGTCACGAGCACCATGTTTGAGTTGTCTGTATTTTTAGAGAGCAGTGTTTCGTGGCATAATCCAGAAGGTACAGTTGGAGGATTTTTATTTTAAGAAAAATTAAAGTCTATTATCGCAGATTCAAGACTCTATAATAAGGCTCTTGGCGCCATGTCAAAGAAACGTGCGAGCGGCTGGCACCCTTCCGTTCCTGGGCGTCATGGGTGCCATTCTCAGAGTATGGGCTCTTCCTCCAGGGGAAGCCGAGGGCATCGGAGGCGTCTCTCTAGCCTTCCAGAGTGGAAGCCGTCTTCCCTAGAGGCTTTGGGATGTGGACCGCTCCTCCGCGCCGGGCTCTCTCCCCTCCCCCTCCCGGAACACCTGTGGGCCCTTCAGCTGCCTCTTTGGGGAACCATCCTTTCTGAGGCTGCGCACAGAAAGGCTGGTGCAGAGGAAGGGCCGGTGTTTGCAAGCCCAGGCCGAGATGCCACTGCGGACGTGCTCCCTCGCTCAGGAGTCACACTTCCCATTCCACCTTCCTCATGCCCTGGAACCCCACTCAGCCCGCCTCGTTCTCTGCCTTGTACTTGACTCCATAGGTTGGGAGTCTCTGATGTGGGTGCTCTCTCGCTTCTTCTTCCTCTCAAGTTCGCCTTTCTCGACTCCCCTTCGCCCCTGCCTCCCCTCCACGCCCTTGTTCCTCTCTCATGGATGGGTCACCTCCTGGGGTCCCTTGGTTCTCTTGCATCTTCAGTCTTTTGTACTGGCTTCTTGCCCTCACCCCGCAAACAACAGCATCCCCGTCCTGCCATCCTGGAGGCCATCGTCCGCACGTTACCGCCACTGCTAGCCATCCACCTACTCCTAACCCGTAATTTCCCAGACGTTTTCACACATGACACGCACAGAAGTGTGCTGTTTGACTAGCACACGGGTGTGTGTGAGAGGCCGATGGAAGGCAGAGCCCTGGCTGCCCATGGCAGCACCTCTGTCCTCTGTCCGCAGCACACACCCGAAATCTTTGCAGGTTGACTCCATCCGCCCTGCGCCGGCCCTGCCCTCCCCCCCAAATAGCCTTCCTCAGGATCACCGCTAAGCAAATGCTCAATGCACGGACTCGTGCTTTGTTTTCATCCTCCTCGCCATCCAGGTGGCATTCGACATAGACCAGTGGTCAAGAGCTTGGACCCTGGGGCTGGACTGCCTGGGTTCATCCCGGCTTTGCTGTTCTCTGACAGACCCCTTCATGTGTCAGTGCCTTAGTTTCCTCATTGGCTGAATGAGGATAATAAATACTAACCTCACAGGGTCGCCGTGTGATCGAATAGCTGCTCTGTGGAAAGTGTACAAACAGTGCCCGCCTCATCTGGGTGCTGCGTGAGTGCCTGCGGCTGCTCGCGAGTACCCCTTTCCTGAAGCCCCTTCCCCTGCCTTTCCTCACCTGCTCGAGACTCTTCTCCCGTCTCTTCGAGCTCTCTCGTTTGATTTCATCCTGCAGCTCATCTTCGTGTTCCCCAACGTGGAGGAGGTGGTGGACAAGGCAGCCTTGTCTTACTCGCCTCCCCCTTTTTTGTTTTTTTCTCTCTCTCTTTCTCCCTCTCCCCCCGCTCCCTTCCCCCCCTTCCTTCCTTCTGGTTGCTGAGGCCGGCTCCCTACTCCCACACTAGCCATCACCCCAGGCCCCATACATAGCCCCAACCAAATCTCCCCGCTGCACCTCAGACTCAGGAGTCCCCCAAATATTTTCATGTGTATTCTGTTGTTTTAAAAGTAGTAAATGCTCGTTATAGATGTATAGATGACTCGAAAAGATAAAATACAAGTCAGTGGTGTCTGCTTTGAGCCCGATGGGCCGCCACATGGGCCGAGTTTTCCCAGGGAACGTTCGGCAATGTCTGGAGACAGTTTTGGTTGTCAGCCTAGGGGTCGTGGAGAGGTGTTACTGGCATCCAGTCGGTAGAGTTCAAGGATACTGCTAAACATTTTACAATACACGGGACAGCCCCCGCTACGAAGGATTAGTCAGCCAAACAGCGCTGAGGTGGGGAAGCCTGTTCTGGACTTTGGTCTCTCCATAAATGCCCCAAATAGGACGAGTTAGACTTGGCTTTCTCTTTCGACCTCCATCCTGCTTCCCCACCTGCGTTCTCTGTTTCTGTTGGTGGCCCCACCTTCCCCCTCACCCCACATCCGATCCATTACGAAGCCCACAGATTCCCCACCTGTCACACCTTCGGCATCTGTCCCTAATTCTCTCTTCCACTTTTGACACGGATGGCCACTCAGCCAAACTAATAAAAAAGCCTCCGACAGGCCCTTCCCTTCGAGTTTCCTGCTTGACCTTGGCTGTGCCACCCGTGTGCTTGGAGGCCTTCCGTAGACTCCATGCCTGCCACGTCCACGTCCCGGGTCAGTCTTTGTGCCCAGCCAGAACCTAACACCATTCTGAGCAAAAAAAAAAAAAGTCAGTGCTCAGGAACTCTCTGGAGAATGTGTATGGATGAAAGATTGCATGTAAGAAAAACCTGGAAAAAGTTCTCCTCGCAACAACCTCACGGCCTGTGTGTCTTTGCAGATCTTGGACGAGTGGTTTGGCCGGACCGTCATCTGCTCCTGCACCAAACTGAGCTACGAGCATGCGCAGAGCATGATCGAAAGCCCGACTGAGAGCATCCTGGGGACGGAGCTGCCCCCCATGTCCCCGGAGCACACCCGTGAGGAGGTCCACCGGGCTGTCCTAAGTCTGCACAGAATCGCAAAGGAGTTACGCAAACAGCGGTTTTCGGACGGTGCACTGCGTCTGGATCAGGTCAGTCACTTCCTTACTCAGTGCCACCGACAGATGCGACTCGTGTGTGAGACGCAGCATGGCAGGCTCGGGCCCCTCCCGCCGTCTCTTCCCAGTCGTCACACGGAGACAGTGCTCTCTGAGGCAGGCAGGGACTAACTCCCAGCCACCCGCCCCACGGCACGGGAGGCCTGATGACGTGAGTCAGGGCAAAAGGATAGTGTCTATGTGGGTGACTCTGTGACCAAAGCTCACGGCTGGTCTAACCTGCGTTCGACCCTCACCTCGGCTTCTACCTGTCATCCCTCTTAGTTGAGCTGGGAACAGGAAACATGGAAGTTTAGAAGGAGCTGACCAGTATCTGATCACAAAGCTTAAAGAAAAAAGTATTTCTTCGTATCCCTTGACTTCTAAAAAGAGTTATATGTTTGCCAATTCCAGATTAATATCTGAAGGAGCAGAGAACTGATGAGCCCATAGAATATTGGCTGTTGAAGAAAATGATGGCCCAGGATGGTCTTGGTGCTCTTGAGTATCACAGCCGTGCCAGGGGCCCTCTGGGACAGAGGCAGCTGTCACTCAAACCTGGTCAGACTTCCATATCCAACAGCCAGTGACTGTTAAGATCCAGGAGTTCTGTCCTCGTTACTTGGCAGTAGTACATCGTAGAGGAGAGTCTATGTTCCATATCGTGCAATTTTTCTTCTTACCCAAACCCCAGAGTGCTCGCCCTCCTCCCCTGGTTGCTATATGCTGTGGGAGGACTCTGGGTGTTTGAAAAATGAGTTGGGCAACAGGATTGGCTGATGGAGCTGTTTATCAGACCATTGGCAGAGTGCAGCCTCACCGAGAATTCTTTCTCGGAGCCTTTCAGCTTGGAGAGATCTCAAAGGCCTTGGTTTAAGTCTTCTACACGAAGATCTCATTTCATACTACCCTTTATGCTAAACTCACGCTAACACTTCCCAGCAGGCATTGCACACAGCTGCAGCCCTGGGCTTAGGAGTAAGCCAGCAGTGCGAGGCAGGGAGTAACCTGTCCTTCCCGCGCGTGGGACCGTCCGGGTTCCCGCTGGAGCTCTCCTGCTCCTCCTGTCTTTGCCTGGGCTCCGGCAGCGAGCAGGCCTCTCAGCCCCAGAATGCCGACGGGCAACAGGAAGCAGAGTGGCTGCGGGACGAGACAGCAAAGCCGACGAAAGAGAGGCTGAAGGCGTAGGTGGCAGAGCCTTGCCTTCCTCCCTTGGGGCTATGAGCACACCAGGTCTCACTCACCAGTGGCCGCCTGGTTGTCACACCCAAGGACACTTTTCAGTTCTTGCTCCCTAGACCTCTGTTCTGAGTCTGGCCCTTTGAAACTCACCACCTCCCGGTTCTCTGCTTCCTGTCGTGCATCTCCAATAGTGCTGGTCCCTTTGCAGAGGCCTCTTCCTTTAGGGGTGGCATTTTTCCCTCTATCCCCACTCCCTCCCTGAATGAATTCCTCCCCTCTTGTGACTTCACCTACTAACCCGATACCCGATGATGCCCAAATCTGTCTCTCCAACCCTGACCTCCCTCCCCAGACAGGCCTCTCCACCGCCTTCTTAAACTCTTTGCCTGGATGCCGCATGGTCTTCTCAGCCAGTGCTCCCATTCCTTCTGTGGGACTCAGTGACCGGTGCCCACGGCAGGCAGCACATGTGGCTAGTGCTCCCACCAGCCCGTGTGTGTGTGTCGAGTCGATCCTGCCGATTCCCAAATCCAGTTGTGCCAGTTGTATGTGACTAAATGTTAGGTGAGCTGATCAAATAAGAGCATAAAAAAGAAAGCTGTAAAGTCTGTGAAATGAAATTAAATTGTTTAGAAAGACTCGGTGAAGATGAATCTTCAAAAATTCTGCTGTTTGGGTATGACAGATACAAAAGAGTAGGGGAAAATTATAAAATTCGGGAGGAATTCTGTGCTAAGATTGCCTTACAAATGTCTAAGTTCTCTTAAAAAACAAACTATAAATTATAGACAATGAATTATGATGCAGTTTATTCAGAAAAAAGTATGGAGAAATTCAATTAGCATACTCTTTAAAATGTTTACATGGAAAAAAAAACAGTTAGTGAATGTACATTTACATAAATTAAGTTAAAACGAATGTTTAGTTACCTCTGTATCTCCTCTATGATTCCCCTCTTTAGCCAGCTCCTAGACTAACTAACCAGCCACCTCTTTAAGTGCATCGAATGAGAGACCTTGCCCCATCAGATTGTTATATAGCTTGATTGAATTAAATGCATGAAATACTCTAAAAACTGTCAAAGATGTGAGCGTTCATGATCTCAGCGCCCATGAGGAGGGCCAGGTGATCAAGATAGAAGAATGATCACAGGTTGGTGCTGACCTGTCAGCTCATTTTAGAAATCAGAATTGTATGACTGAAAACAACTTCAGATATCTATACCTCCCTGGCCCTCTCGATTTATAAGTTAGAAAGCTGAAGCCCCCAAAGGTTAAATAAGTTATTACATGCAAGAAATCCAGGTAGCTAAGTCTTCGTTCACTTTTCCTCCATTTCCACCATGACGACTTAAGAGAGAAACTTTTCCTTCGAAGTGAGAAAAACAAAAGCCCTCAAAAGCCCTAATTAGATTTCAGTTAGTGAAGGTTTAAAAATAATGGATTTACATCCTTGGGGTTGATTCCTTGGTTTCCCAGAAAACCAGCGTGCGGCCCCCAGCTTTAGAAGGGGAGCAGGTCATCCTTCCGCAGCAGGGGACGCTGGTGAGAGTTTGTATGAATCAGCTAAACGGCCGGTTCAGGAGTCACTGCGCCTGCCTCCCGCGCCGCCCGCCCGCATTTGCCCTCACGAAAACCCATCTTTTCCTCGGTGCTTTTGGCATAGCCCGCTGCGTGAGGTGCTCTCTGAGGCTGCGTTTGCCTCGGTTCACTCTGTTCACAGTTTCGGTGGCAGTCCTTTCAAAAACTGACCTTTTACACTAGCTTCAATTAGAAAGGCTCGGTGAGAGGCCTCTGTATGAGGGGACACCGTCCATGTCACACAGTATGCCCTTGGATGCAGAATACAGCTGCTAAATCCGAAATTTCACCTTTCCAAGAAATGAGTGTACCGTGCTGACCTTCAGAGTGAGTGAGGGCGGGGACACCGGTGTGGTGCCTGTTTGTTGGGTCAGGACGGACCGGTTCGGCGGTCATAATAACTGCAGAAATACAGAGCAACCTGACCGCCGGGTGATAGAGACCGCGGTCAGCAACGTAGGCCAGAGCTGCCTCGCCCACGTCGTCGGAGGTAGTGACCCTCACTCAGCCTTCTGGGCCGCCTGGGCTGGCGCCAGGCCCTGGAGACCACCTGCTAGCAGTCCTGCCTGCTACCCCAGTGTGCTCTCAGATACCAGCAAGTTCTGTGTGTCCTGTGGTGTGAAATGCGGTGGGACACATTGCCTTCGGGCCGGGTCACCTGCTCCACACGTCTCTTTCACCTGGAGTTCAAATCTAGTTCTAAAGGGAACTGCTAGCTCAGTGAAACGACGCTCCTTTGTTTCGCTGCCCAAAAAGCAACTGCTCGCACCAAACGCATTCTTTGTGCATTTTGGTTGGATGAGTTGAATAAAATCCCTTCCAGGTGGTTTCTTCCCATCTTCATGTTTTCTGCTGCCATGTTAATTCTAGAATTTAACACAGATGCTTGTTTTATTTTATTATAACATATGTCACTCCGATGTCTTGAAAGGAGTCTCCCATAAAGGGACTCTTTTTGTGTTTGTAGTCAAAGTAATCATAATGGTTTATGATCATATGCAAATCTTGAGCTTTTGGGGAGGGGCGCTGTGGGAAGCCCTCACTGCCTCCCTGGTTCTTGCTCTGTGACTCAGGCCTGTCTGACAGACCCTGGGAGTGCTCGGAGCTCCCGGCCTGTCTGTCTTGCGACACAAAGCCTGCCTCCAGGCAGCCTCCCCTGTAGGGAGGAAGGTGACATGGCTTGACTATGATATGACATTCTTAGCCATTGCCTTCAGAATGGATAACAAGGGAGGGTAGCAGGGTGCTAAATAGAACCTCAGAATAAAAACACCTTGGGAATATTGGTTGTTTTCACGAAACTATACATACAGCTTTCTGGGGCATTCTCTACAGCTTAGCATTCCTCAGTCTGGTGATAGCTCTTAGAGGCCACTCTATGCCAAGGCTTCTGAAGAGTCCAGCCCTACTTCCTGAAGGAAACTGCCACTTCTGGGTCTCCAGCAGGTTGTCAGGGGATGTGAATGGCTCCTAATGAGTCTTTGACTTTCTGAATTTGGAGGAAGTTGTAGTGAAGAAAATTTATTTCTATCTTCTTTATTTCCCTTCATACTGAAGGAGCTTTTACTGAATTCTTATGAGTCTGATATGAATCCCACCTGGCATGGTGCTGAAGCTCAAACTTTAGGCCGTTTCTTTGAGAGGACTTGATTGTAAAGATAAGCTTGTTAATGGAAATAACCTTTAAATACCTTGGGACTCTAGCAGCTGTGGAATGCTATTATGGTTGACCTTGGCCTAGCCAGCCTTTAAGTCAAGGGCCTGCAGACTTTCTATAAAGGGCCTGATAGTAAATATTTCAGGTTTGCTGGGCCTTCTGGTCTGTCACAACTACTCAGCTCTGCGGTTGTAGAGTGAAAGCAGGTAGAGACAGACAGGCAAATGAGTGTGGCTGTGTTCCAATAAAATTGTAAGAACACTGAAATTCGAATTTCATATAATTTTCATGTCACAAAATAGTATTCTTCCTTTGATTATTTTTCATTCATTTAAAGATGTAAAAACCATTCTTAGCTCGTGAGCCGTGCAGAAGCAGGTGGAAGGCCAGAGTTGACCTGTGGTCCATAGCGTGCTGACCTCTGCTTAAATGAAATTCAGCTCTGTTACCCAGTCAGCTTCTAGCAGCTCATCATCACTGCACTGGGGAATCGGGCTGGGTAATGGAGAACAGTTGTGCTAAGTTAGCTCTCAGGATGGTTTCATGCAATTAAGTAAATTATTTCTTTGATTAGT